GCTTAGAATTGCTAATCCTACAATTCTCTATTCGTGCTTGCTGACTGGGAAAATAAATACCGAAAATCGTCACTGTCTCCTGAACTAAAAAATATTATTATACTTTAAATAAATAGTACAAATTGGGAATAGAGATATTTTTATTTAAAAAAGAGCAGCTATTTTGAGAAAATAACCTAGAATAAGAAATAAGAATTAGTAGAAAAGATGGCAAACTTTAACCTTTTTAGGTATACCTTATTTTATTTAATTTTGTTTGGAAATTGATAAATGTTTTCTGTTTTTAATGTTCCGGCTTAAGTTTTTTTTAATGAATTTTGACAGTTTTACAAAGGATTCGGGAGACTGAGTCATTTTTTGTAACAATTAAAACTGCCTGTTCAAGGTAACAAAATACTTTTTAGCTGCAAGAAAAATACTGTTTAAACACTAAAAATCTACTTTTGAACCATAAAAAACTACTTTTTAGTGAGTAAAATTTTACTTTCTAACCACTAAAATTAATAAAAACTAAAAAGTACGTGTTTGACAGTTTTTATAAGGGATTCGAGAGACTGATTAATTTTTTGTTGCATTTAACAGTATAACCACAGCTTATACAATACAGCTCCACAACTCCGTGTCGGCGTCTTTGATCTGGCGGTCGAGAACCAAGCAAGACGGAATGGTGCTATCTCTGTTAGATTCGAGGGAAAAGTCGGGCCCGGATTAAACAATTTTTTTATTATTGAAAAAATTGAAAACCTTGGCGTAATAAGGTTGGTTACTTGCCATATTAAGTAAGTTTTGGGAAATTAAATTTTTAATTTGTTTTAAATCTGTCAAATATAATTAGAAACATTATTTAAATATAAATATTACGAAAAATAGCACATCTTTCGGATTAGAGGTAAAATAATTTGTATGTGGCTAGTAAAATCCTCGTTAACAAATGTTTTGAGCTAAAACAATCACTTCACGACAAATTGTGGCTTGGATCCTTTTTACACCAAGGGCTTCAATTGTTAAAGAATTGTGTCACGCTCGTGGATGCAAATCAAGTGGTAGCCCGTGTCTCTGGCAAGTGTTACTCTTCGCGCAAAGGGTTTATACCTAGATAAACGAATGCTTCGACTGAGGTCTGGGAACTCTATGGTATTTTGGAATTATAAAGAATTTGTGCTTTTATTTTAACAATATTGGTTATATTTAGATGTATTCTTATTAATTGAAATACAGATTTGTAGAAGTAATACTTTGACAGTTTTTATTAATATAATATATTCAATTTTTATCTGACCATACCGAAGTAGGGAATTTTGAAACTTTATAGTAATGTGAAATTTGAATTACAATATTACACGATATTACATAATTAGTACTTATTTTAGGTAGGTACTAAATTTGTACTTTGAGAAAGTAATATCGATTTTTACAAGGAAACTTGAAAAGTAAATTAATTTAGTTCCTATTTCTGATGTAAAACTTAAGTTTTGGTTTAAATCAAGAAAACAAATAAATTATAGTTTGTTCAACAAGGGTGGATATGATAGCAATATCACACAAAGACGAAGTTTGAGCACGACGTCGTATGCGGAGTACTCAATCGTCTGATTGTGATATGAACAATCCACTCGATATGGTCAGTATATTTTTTCTACGACCCACTAACGAAAATCTACAAATTTAAAAAATTATTTTAGGTTATTTAGACAAAATACAGTTCATCAAATTTCTAGAGGCTTTCGACGGCTAGACAGAGAGAGCACTACTGACAGGCATCCCGACGGATTTACGCAATGAAAGTACACTCTGCGCATCAAGTATTTCACTATTTCATTCAGACGTAAATGTCAGATGTAAATTTCGCTAAAACATTTCTTTTATTTTCGTTTGTGTTTTTTGCTCATTACAGTTTAATAGAACCTAAGTATGGAGTTTAATAGCAAATTAAGAGGCCGCGTGATTAACAGTCAATCTCGCGAAATAATAGCCAATGTTATAGAGTTTATGAGAAGAGAAGGAAACTTTAATTCACCTTCAATACCATTTAAAAATGTAAATGATCGTGTTGCTGCAGCCACAGGAGTATCTAAAAACACTGTCGTCCGCATTTCTGGAGAGAAAAAAAGAATCGATAACCGTGAGATATCGGAATTTTCATCACCAAGAAAAACCATTAAAAAACCAAAAACAGTTAATGATATAGATGAAGCTGCACAAGAATCAAATTTTATTTTTTTATTATTAGATAGCTATTTTTGTTTCTGAGTTGTGTTTATTTACAGGCTCAATTTTTTTCCGTTTCTCCTTTTTGATTTTTATATGGGGTTTCAAGTTATTTTTGACTTATTTCGACGTAAATCACAACACACTTTTTTAATAAAGCAAACAAGTGTTAAGAGGTATATGTACGTGTAAACTACAATTACAAAAAATTGATATGAAACCCATGAAACTACCAACAAAAATGTAAAGTTAGCTTCCGTACTAGAACATGGTGTCATTCGTCGAGATAATTTATCGTTTTGTTTAATAGATCAAGAAATGTAAATATTCCCCTGTTATTTTTTATAAAATTATAAGAGAAATAATTTTTTTTCTTAATAGTATAGTTTATTATTTTGTAGAAAAACAAAATTTCGAAAATTTTAGTAATGTTTCAGAAACAACCGTTATTAATAATAGGTACCATTTTCCTTAATAAGGTAGAAATAAAATATAAACTATTTCCACGATTTACAAAGGCCTACAAAAAAATTATAGGTATTTTCCGCTATCCTATAAAATTTATATTTTCTGACTCAATTTCAAAAAGTTGAAGGAATTCCAAAACACCTTTTATGGCATAATAATTATTTTCAATTCTACATACTATCTTTAGCTGCTTTTAAAAACGTTCTAAGAAAGTCCAATCAGACCAATTTAATCCCTAAACTATTCCACACTTTTAAAATTTAATTACCTAAAAATATTAAAAACTATTTAAAATAACTTGTTTACCAGACTGTACAATAGCTATCTTAGTCACACGTAGCGCGTTCTCTGTCTGGGCATCGATCACCTCTAGAAATTTGATGAACTGTAACTAATTTTAAAATAATTTACGAAGTTGACTAATTTATAAAATAAAATTAACATGAAAAATTAATTAGTCCTCGGCCTAGATTCGATCCCGGGCTTTTCGCGTGGAAGGCAGATGCTCTGTCCTCATCTTCACCGAAACTTTCAGGACTTTAGTTTTAATACTCGTAATTAAATTAGTATCATGTAGTTTGATTAAAATTTATTTTTTTTAAATGTGGACACAATAAAAACAAAAATGCTATTATTTATCGAGTCTACACAAAAATTTTAATGTATATTTAATATCAATAACTAACATATATATTGACAATTAGTTTAAGAGAATTGTCACTTATTTAAAAAAATTTAAATAATAGGAGTTGGGTGACCAAAATATGAACTGTGATTTGTAGATTTAATTTTGTTAAAGTGTTCTCACTACCTAAAATGGATATGAAATATATTCGTAGTTGAACGCAATAACATACTTTTTCGTTTTGTAGTATGTGCATAGATTGGCTAATATCCATGCACAGATTACAAAACGAAAAAGTATGCTATTGCCTTCAATTGAACGAATATATTTCATATCCATTCTAGGTAGTGAGAACACTGCAAAAAAAAATAAATTCGCCAATCACCGTTCATATTTTGATCAACCGACTGCTATTATTTTTAAAATTTTAAATAAATGACAATTCTGTCAAACTAATTGTCAGTATATTTTTTAGTTATTGAGATTAAACATACAATAAAATAAGTTATTCTTTTGGAAAACGTTAGCATGGATGACTAAAGGGTATTGGGTTAATTAATTCTAAAAGTGTGGTACAAATGTTATTTTTTGTAGCCAATTCTTCAAAATTATTTTGAAATATCTTTTCAATATTGAATATTAGTTCTACAAATTCATCATTTGACAGTTGCAGATTTCCAAATGTATCTGGATTGGCGTTATCATATGCCTTTAAAAAGCAATAAAAAGAAAAATCATCTAATTCAACGTGATCTTTGTTATATTTAAGACAGGTATCGCAGAGGAGTGGATCCGCAAGGCTTTTATTAAAAGGTAACCACACACATACCTGATAAAAATTTTCTTTACAATAATTTAGGGTGTTAATAATTTTATCATAAAATAAAATACAAGGTGTTCCATTTAAAAAACATACATTTTAATTTGCCAGGCAAAAACGTGACACCCTGTATATCCAAAGATATTTTTAAAATATGTAGGTATTTTTCAAATCCATATAACTTTTATTTAAAACTTTCTTGCGTGTCTACAACAAAATAATGAACAATAACGCACTAATGGGATACCCTGTATAAATTATATTTTTAACAATGAAAATTTCTTATAATGTGGTACTTATCGGTTTGGGTCCTTGGGAAAACTAAAGAATGTTTTCTTGCAGGTATAACCCTTATTAAAACAGCTTTTGACTGCACAAACAGAATGATGTCTTTTTTTTTTCACTCATTCTACTCATAGCTAAAGAGTCACCAAAATAATAACAGTACCTTTAACTCAAACAAAATCAACGAAATTATAGGCTCCATGAAATTATACAATCAACGAAATTATACGCACGACTCAACACCTTACCTAAGTACGCTTCTGAACACCAAAACCGTCTTTTCCCTTCGAAGGCGGAGCTTAAGCGATGCGCGACGAAATCGACGCAAACCGTTGCCGCCAAGAGAGTGTTTTAGCTGTATTGTTAAGCTGTGGTATAACCTTTTCATGAAAATTGTAATTTTTGTCTTTTGAGGTGAAAATCAATAAGACAGATTTGTCAAACGTTTTTATCAGTCTAATTTTTTATTACTTTTATACTATTTAACATTAGTCTACATTTGAATAATTCCTAACTATAGGTAATAGTTAGAAATTGCTAAAGACGTAGGCCGAAAAAAATAGTGATTGACTAGTAAACTAATTTTTTTTTTTTAGAAACTGAATATACTATTTTGGATGTTGTCATTTACCGTAATAATTTTATGTGTTTTTGGAAATCACCACAGTTTACAATTTACAGAATATGCTCGAATTCAAGCTGTCATTTATTTTACCTTTTTCCGACCAATGTTTTCCTTGGCAGTATGGTGGATTATATGGGCGTGTCAAACTAATCATGGAGGTAAGATAATTATGAATAACCTTCTAAAATTATCATTTTTAGGTACCTTGATTGAAACATCCTAATAAGAATCAGATAATTTGAAGAAATATTTTTTTTCTTTGATTAGAATATTGTTAATGGATGAATCTCTTCAAACTCTGTGCCGTGTCATTGTATTAACTATTATATAATTATTTTTAGGATTTGTTAACACCATACTATCGCTGCCTATATTTCGGTTGATGAATAAATTCACTTACAGCATATTTCTGTTAAATTCAACAATTGTGGCACTTGTAACTTGTTCCACAAAGGCACCTGTTTATGTAGATTTATTTTTATTGGTAAGTATATAAATCAATGTACCTAAATAATTTAATTTAAATTGTAATTCAGCTGTATTATTATTATTAATATTTATCAAAGTAGATTCCCTATGGGATTTTTTTAATATTACGATTTGAAAAAAAACCTCGTTGGGCAATCGCATCTACTTATTTGAAAACTAAAAATAGCCCATATCAAAGTTGGCTACTGACATTAGATTTCTATCAAATTGGCATTTAAACGAGTTACAAAAAATAGTGAATTTGACCGATAACTATAGTCTATTTTAATGTATGAGAGAGTATTAAAATAATAAAGCGTTCGTAATCCATAGGCGTACCACTTCTTTTAAAATAGTTAAAATATTTTTTGAAGTTATTCTTTGAGTATACACTTATATTTTCACCTAAATAATCTGCTTATAACTTCTAAACAGCTGAAGGTAAAAAAGTGCAATTTTTTCTAAAATGTTTTATTTTTCCACAAGGTATGTTAAGAACATTGTGTCAAACGGGTTATGTAGGTATAAGGGTTTAAACTTTGACTTTTAAACGACGTTACGTTCATAAATAATAATTTTAATATAAAAACTACTTCTTACCTACAAATCCAAATCAGAATCGAAATCAGAAGATGAACTGTCGCAACCAATATTTACAATGAGTGGCTCGATCATTTCATCAGTAATATTGTCCAACTTCCACATTTTCTCTTCTTCTTTAATCGTATGATTTACTGCCTTTTCCCAGTTTTCGGGCTTCACATTATTTACAGCCTCCAAAAACAACTGTTTAACATCACTCATTTTAAAAGAATTATTTTTTCTTGAAACTTCTCCCTTTATCTGTGCCCATATCAGTTCAATCGGGTTTACTTCACAATGATATGGTGGTGATCTAACCACCGTCATCTCACGATTTTTTGCAATTTCATCAATTTCATATTTTTTGAATTTCTCTTTATGAAGGGAACACAAATGATACAGTTCTTTTCTCACAGAACCGGGATGGAACTTAATATTCTTTGAATTTAGCCAATTCTGTAAATCTTTTTTTAACCACTTGGTTGTGGGCATTTTTTCTATAAGTCTCGAGTGATAACTTATCCATTACTATTATACAGTTCTGAGAAAGAAGATCTATAATTTGTTCGAACCATCTTTAAAGACATCAGCATTCATGTCCTCATGGTAGTCACCGGTACGAGTAGATTCAAAAGTCAATAAACCACCTTTAACAAAACCGTTTGAACTACCGATGTGTACTATTATTAGTCTGCGCCCCTTTCCTGATGGTGGATTTAAACCAGTAGATAAATTATTTAAAAAAGCCTTTCTTCGACTTGTAACAGTTTCATCTTGCCAAAATTTATTTGGTTTATGTCCCTCGTTGATCCATGTTTCATCTAAATCAAATATATTTCTTCTTTGGTTTCTCATTTCTTTTATAGTCCTTAGGTAATTTCTTCTCCATACTACAATATCGCTTCTTTCTAATAAAATAGACTTTCTGAAATGCTTTTTCCATAGAAAACCTATTTCTTTTAAAAGTTTCCATAGTGTGCTTCGACTCATTTCAGGGTAATCCTTATCATCTCGAACCGTGGCAAGAACTTTGTCTACTGTCGGAAATTCTTTTCTAAAGAAGAACGCATGTACTTTCCTTCGAAGTCTTTCTTTCAAAAGATTTTCTAATTGAAATTTTGGTTTTCCTGGAGCTTTACGTGCTGTTTGAAACTCGCCACATTTCTCTTTTTTAACATCTCTGTAAATCGTAGATTTCCCAACACCAAGCGTACTACTCACTAATTCCACTGTGTCATCAACACTTTTACATAAATGTTTGTCTGTAAATGATTTAAAACAATTAAATATTAATGTTTTTTCATTAACTGTTAAAGGACCGATTTTTTGTCGTTTACGCGGCCCTTCTAAATTTTCCATGATCACACTAGAATTCACACTGCACCTTGCAAGTTGCAACTAAACGACATTTAGTAAACTGTCAAGAATACACAACTTGGACCTCCTTACTAAATGGAAAACCTATAATCGCATTTTCGGTGAAATTTGTTGGAAAGGTATTTATTATTTATCTACTTATAATTCGATTACTGTAAGAAATTCTTGGAATTAAAATAAAACAAAATTGGCAAATAGGTACTTATTGAAAATAATCTTAAGATACGGCTATGTAATCTTTAATACACAGGGCTTTTGGTCTGTCCAAACCTTTTTCTATTGTTCTGTACAGCTTATGTTTATAAAGGACCAATAAAAGACCCAAAACTTGTAATAGCTCAGGTACATTTATTACAATTTTAGGAAATATTTAGATTATTTTGTAAAAATATTTAAAATGACCGTACTAAGTTTTGCATTAGAAATGCTGTTTTATTACTCTCTCATACATAAAAATAGAATGTAATGCAATATCTAGCCAACTTTAATATGGGATATTTTAGGCTTTTAAAAAAGCAGAATATTAAATGTCATATGAAGTCTTTTTCCAATGATAATGTTAAAAAAATTTCTATATTGATCCAACTTTACGAAACACTACTGTTTATGTTCATATTAAATTTAATATTATTTTTAGGCATATCGATTTCTGGGACTATATGCGCTGTCGTTTTTACTATCTATAATTTGGATACTCATGTTCGAAAGTCCAATGATAAATGTCGAAAAGATTTTCTTCAAAAAATAAAACTTAAGTAGGTAGAGTTATCTCCACATCCCCAACTAGCCATTGATAAAAGTGTATTTGTTGTGAAGCCGTACCATAAAGAGATTACACCCAAGATAGCTAAACTATTCAAATCTATAGAAAATATCAAAATTGCAGAAAAACTTGTCCTTACCAATAGCTCTGTGTTCTCCAAATTGAAAGATAAGGTACCCATAACTTCGTTGAGTGGGGTGGTATACAGTATCCCTTGTAGTACATGCCAAAAATGATATATTGTCCAAACATCTAGATGCTTAAAAGACCGTACAACATTCCACAGGAGCGACTGTAGACTACACCCTGAAAATGACCATATTGTGACGATAGTCTAATTTATTTATAGTTTATTTATTTAAAACAGACTATTTACAATTTATTTCAGACGTACTATTTAATTTATATAATACTTAGACACTAACTAACAATTCTAATTTATTTATTACACTTTTAACTTTTCAATACAATGCTCTAAACTAAACTATACACCGATACGTCGGCTATTTATATTAGTCCAACTCTGCTACTAGAAGACACCAGAGGCTCTCGAACATTCAATTTCTGTGACTAAACGGCACTCTCCGCCCGTTCTAGCCGTTTCTAGTGCTTCAGCGGAGGCATTCCTGAACGTTCCATCGCCTCGAGCACGAGTCGGTTGCCATCTGAAGGTCGCGCGTACACAGGGAAGGCTTTAGGAATTTCATGACATTGCCCCCTCCTTAAGAAATAGTTCCTCCTGGAACTAAAACTGAATGGTTGTATTTGCAACTGGATCCTCTTTTACAATTTTCAGTTGCATGGAAGTAACAAGGCACAGTCTTCGTTATAACTTAAAAGCTGGAAGAATGGCGGCAGACCAGTATTTCAACCTGCGTATCTTGAAAGATTACTTCCACCATGTTTCTAATGATCCTCCAATTCAGCTGGTTGCTCTCAATCTTTGGCATAGCTAGTTTCTGTATATTGGACTCCAGTACATGCTCCCTCAGACTGAGTAATGCTTCCCATACATCCTGATAGGTGGATCGATCTTGAAAGGTGTCATTTGTTACCAAATAGAAAAGGTGAATAAGGTGAATTAAAGTTTCCTTCTCTTCTCATAAACTCTATAACATTGGCTATTATTTCGCGAGATTGACTGTTAATCACGCGGCCTCTTAATTTGCTATTAAACTCCATACTTAGGTTCTATTAAACTGTAATGAGCAAAAAACAAACGAAAATAAAAGAAATGTTTTAGCGAAATTTACATCTGACATTTACGTCTGAATGAAATAGTGAAATACTTGATGCACAGAGTGTACTTTCATTGCGTAAATCCGTCGGGATGCCTGTCAGTAGTGCTTTCTCTGTCTAGCCGTCGAAAGCCTCTAGAAATTTGATGAACTGTACTAGAGAGAAATTCGATACTCCAGGGTAGGCTTTAGGAATTTCATGACTATATTATGGACAATTCTTAGAAATGTTACACATTTACCAACACGAAAATAGCATCAACAAAAGATCAGATATTAAACATTTAAGTGAGATTTTTTCCTATCTTTTACATGTGGATAAACATGGAGATATCAGTATGGACAACACAGGTTTTTCTGAATTGTAGTTTTTGTTAAATTACCTAGTCTTAATTACAAACTTGGCATCAATGTTTTACCCTTAGATAAAAGAGACAAGAGATATAACATACACCGGTTTTAAACCTGCGCAAATGTTGCCAATTTCTAAAGAAGGGTTAACGGAGTGGGGGAACTGGGCGGCGACACGCGGCGACCCGAACTCTGTGACAGGGACCGGACTTTGTTTATTAGCATCTTAATGAACTATTAGGTTTATTTAAAATGTGTTTAATCGAATTTTATATTATGAAATAAAATTAACGTGATTTTTTAATATCAAACAGATGCCACGACATTTTATGTAAAGAGAAGACCTTTTATAGAATATTTCGTTAGCGTTTATTTACTACGGACTTTTCTGCAAGAGATTACAGTAAAATGTTGAAATAGAATATATTGTTAATAGAGCAAAAAATGTTACACATTGTCTACGAGTATTATAAAAATAGCAAAAATAGCTAATACTGCAGATCTACCCTTATGAGTTGAACATTATATTTTTTCTACGGCTATTACATATTATTAAAAATTAGTCAAAATGAGAAAATGCTGTTTTGTATTGTAACCTCAGAAAAAAGTATATTAAGGCTTCTTTCTTTAAGAATATTAATTATTATGAAGGATGAGTCACATAAAACTCTAGAAATGCATATGTCTGAAACCAGATAACATTTTAAAATTTAAATCTATTAAAAGTCATTTGGTCGCTAGGGATTAGTGATTATCGAAATAAATTATCGATCATTGAAAATAATCGATTATTTTCGATCAATCGATTATTTTCAAACAATATATTTTTTGTCATTTCCTTTAAAATCGACTACTTGATTATCTTTGAAAAATCAAAAATAATCGATTAATTAAAAAGCCAATTAACCGATAAATCAGTGTTTACAAAATATAATATAAATAGAATTATCGTTTATTTTAAATAATCGATTATTTTCAAATAAACCATTTTTTTTTTGTCCATGGAAACAGATTATTCGATAATCTTTGAAAAATCGAAAATAATCGATTAATCAAAAATAATCGATTAATTAAAAAGTCAATTAACTGATAAATCGATTTAAAAAAAACAGAATGATCGATTATTTTAAATAATTGATTATTTTCGATCAATCGATTATTATCAATAATCTATTTTTATTGTATTTCCTTTAAAATCGTTAATTCGATTATCTTTGAAATACCGAAAATAATCGCCTAATCGAAAATAATCAATTAATTAAGAAGCCGATTCTATGATAAATCGATTATTACCAATAATCTATTTTATTGTATTTCAAAAATAATCGATTAATTAAAAAGTCGATTAACTGTCAAATCGATTTTCAAAAAAAAAACAGAATGATCGATTATTTTAAATAATCGATTATTTTCGATCAATCGATTATTATCAATAATCTATTTTTATTGTATTTCCTTTAAAATCGATAATTCGATTATCTTTGAAATACCAAAAATAATCAATAATTCCAAAATAATCGCCTAATCGAAAATAACCAATTAATTAAGAAGCCGATTCTATGATAAATCGATTTTCCAAAAAATAAAACGAATTATCTATTATTTTCTAATAATCCTTTTTTCATATTTCCTTTGAAATTGATTATTCGATTATCGAAAATAATTGATTATTAAAAAGCTGATTATCCAATAAATCGATAATTTTAAATAAATAACAAAAATATCTAATTATGTAAAATAACCGTTTATATTCAATCGATTATTTTCATATAATATCTTTGAAAAATCGAAAATAATCAAATAATTAAAAAACCGATTAAACGATAAATCGATTATTTTGAATAAATCTACTTTTTTTGTATTTCCTTTAAAATCGATTAATACATTATCTTAAAAAAAAAAACGAAAATAATTTATTAAAACCAGCGGATAAATCGATTTTCATTAAAAAATATCAGAATTATTGATAAATCGATTATTTTTGTAACCCCTATCGGTCGCTTGCTTTTATCTGAGCATTTAGCTCCAACATTTAGAGATTCGGATTTTTTGATCCAGTTATCTTTGAAATCGCATTCGATTGTATAATAAATAAATATTGCTAAATTTTTGATTTTTTTTTAGTAAACGAAAATTATGTTCGAGTTGTTTAGGGGTTTGTAATGTAACATTTTATTAACGTGACTAAGGGTCGATTCCACCGTTGTGTTAAACGAAGTTTAAAATGACATTTTTACATTAACACTGTCATTTTAATCTCCGTTTAACACAACGGTGGAATCGGACCTAACTCCTGTAACTTTAGTATTTTTTTTTGCTTATACTAGATTACTTTGTTTTAAGACTGAAAATTCAATGTCACTTTCGATTTGACCGCAAATAAGATGAACCTTGAAATTTTAAGTAGGTCATCCTGTATTTCATCTAATATTCTAATAAAAATACCTTATAAAAATAAAATTTAGCTAGCAACTATGATTCTTTACCTCTTATTTATCTACCAAAAAGGGCTAAAAACTACCTTTAGAAAACATTCTTATAAAACTACTTTTTAAATACAAAATTTCGTTAGCAATAATGCCTATATATTATTTATTTAAATTAAATGTTCAAAATTTTACCCTTTTGTAAATTTATGTAAGTAATATGAAATCTGATTTCTGATGCTTAATATTTATTGAAACCCCTTAATGCGGATCTAAAGTATTCAGCCCAGAGAATCATGGCGCTTTATGTGAAAACGTTAATAAATATTTACCGCTGAAAACGAATATATTCATAACAGTAGTACTTGTATTATAAGTACATACAATTTTTCAAGATACATCGTGACATTTTGAACTTGAAATTGAATAACTAGAACACTTTAAATTGCTAAAATACCAACAAATAAATCAAAAAACAGCTGTCAATGGTGATTAAACTCAGGTGGAGGTGATCGCTGAATGGAAATCGGAGCAATTCGGGTGGCGTCGTGCAACAATGATTTTCAATTGGTGGGTTACTTTGGCTTAAAATAGACAACATGCGCAGTGTGCAATGTTACATCTTCGGTCTCTTTAATCTAAGGTTTTACCCAAATATTGCATTTCTGCTAAGGATCATCCGCGTTGGCTTCAGAAACTTTGTAAATACATAATCATATGTGTCTTATTGTTCCACCTAATCGCTTCTAATTTTTTTTTATTTCACATATTTTTCAGCAGTTTTAGATGGACTAAATCTAACTTACAACACTGGATCACTGGAACTGGAACACTGTTTTACTGTCTCTATTTTTAATCTATGTAATTTAACGAAATTTCACTATTGTAATATTAGAAAATGTGGAAAACTCAAAATCATGTACCAAAGACTTTTATTAAATCATTGGACCAAAATTTCCATGTAGACACTAGATAACTGTACAGTGTTGTGGGTTTCAAATTACTTTTAGATATTATTCTAATAAAATTTACAACTGATTTGATTATTTTATGAAAGTTAAAAAGAAGAAACAGTATATTTATGTTTAATAATATTTATGTATATCTCTTTAATTTTTAAATACAAATAAATCGTCTAATATATTTTTTGGACTAGTTTCTATAATAACACACCCTCAGTGATCGAAACTAGTAAATTAAAATCTAATTTAATAAACTTTTGTATCTAGTAAATAATTTTGAGTTTTCTTTTTTTATATATTTATATTTTAATAAACACTATGACGTATGTACTAGTATTTTTTTTTACTACTAACCTGAGAAATTGCTATTATTCACTCCATTTTCCTAACGAGAAATAATATTTCTCACCCTAGGTAAATAATGATAATAAAAAAACACCTAGGTAAATAATGAGAGAAATTCTATATTCTTAACGAAATTAACAAAAACACTTGTTAACGTAATTTTAACCAAAAGCACAAAAATATACAGGGTGTTATTGAAATACACGTACATATTAAAACTGGGTATTGCGCAGATCCCCACTGAATGTAGAAAAATATTATTTTTTAAAAATACCTCTTATTAAGGGAGTTATTAATTTTTGAAAATTAATTCTAAAACAAACGTACTTCACTGATATGTTGAGGATGACCTATATAAACTAGGTTTATTTACCTATTTTAAACATCAACAGTAATTAATATGCAAGTTTTTGTCAGATGATAAGAAAACTAGTCTTGTAAGAAATAACCATGTTGCCAAGATTTTCGAATTAATTTCTATTTCCGAAGACTGGTTTTTACTACCCTCGTTATCAAAAAACTAGAATATTTGATAAATGATTGTTTTTAAACTATACATTTTTGAAACTATAGATTATTAAAATTTTAGTTGATTTAAGAATCTGGCTAACACGAGCGCGTCATTTCCAAGTTGGTAAAAAGTGTTGTTACGATTACTTTTAAATATTTTTTACGATGCCACTATTTACGAATATTGAACTAACGGATATAGTGCTGGTTTATGGGGCAGCTGGAGAAAATTCTCGGCAAGCACAAATCCTGTATCGCGAACGGTTTCCAAATCGGAGAATTCCGGACTGTCGTACGTTTATTTCAACTGTTCAGCATCTAAGAGACCATGGAAAATTTGAGAGTGTCAATGCAGATCGAGGAAGAACAAGAACACAAAGAACATTGGCGGCCGAAGAAGAAATATTGGAAGCTGTTGAAAACCGGCCTCAATTAAGTTGTAGAAGACTAGGTCTTGAAATTGGAGTGTCCTCATTTGTTGTGTGGCGGACACTTAAAGAACAAGGTTTACATCCTTATCACATCCAAAAAGTCCAGGCCTTATATCCAGGTGATGAAGAAAAGAGAGTGGAGTTTTGTGAATGGATGATTCAAAAATGTGTTGATATTCCTGATTTTCTAAAAATATTATTGTATACTGACGAGGCTTCATTCACTCGTGATGGCGTGTTCAATATGCACAATACGCATATTTGGAGTGATGAAAATCCTCACGCCATTAGGGAAACTGGGCATCAAAGAAAATTTTCAATAAATGTTTGGGCTGGCATAATAGATCAGTATTTAATCGGGCCTTATGTTCTCCCGAACAGATTAAATGGGCCAGGATATCTCCACTTTTTAGAAGATATTTTGCCAGTACTCCTAGAACAGATACCGTTACAATTAAGGCAACGGATGTGGTACCTACTAGATGGCGCTCCTCCTCACTTTGATTTAAACGTACGGCAGTTTTTGAACATTAGATTTCCTCAAAAGTGGATAGGCAGAAATGGACCTACTAAGTGGCCTCCGAGTTCTCCGGACTTAAATCCATGCGATTTCTTTTTGTGGGGTCACATGAAACAACTGGTTTATAATGAACCTATTAATAGTGTTGAAAAATTAACCAATAAAGTTAATGCGGTAGCCGAGGAACTACGACAAAATCCAAGACTAATTTCTAATGTTCAAAGTTCTTTGGAAAGACGATTGCAAGTGTGTGTAAATAATAATGGACGGCATTTTGAACAATTACTGTAATAAACTTTATTTTGAATTAATTGGTTTTGCTACGGCAACAGTGCAATTTCTATGGGTAAGTTCAATTTCGATTTATTTTACTTCTTTAAATATGGAAACTAGTAGGTCGGAAAAGGGGACTCTTCCCCAATATTTAAATTTTAGAATTTGAAGTTAAAATTGGTGCCAATCGTTTTTGGTCATTACATACTATTCCCCATTTTAATATGTACGTGTATTTCAATAACACCCTGTATATTAACTAGGAAATTCAACACCGGCAATAGGCTTCAAAAATTATTAATTAATACCACAGCGTACTATAAAGGTGTTTCAACTCCCTGAAAAAACATACCAAAACCGGTCGTACTTAGGGCAAAAATCCGCTAGGTTCGTTAGTGTCGTTACGGCGGAAAATTGCGGCAATCTTTTTATCTGTCAAAAAAAGTGCAATCATAAAAATAGTTAATGGTCAACAAATAAGTTTATTGTTATTGATGGTTGCTTATAAGTGTTTTTTTTTTAAACAAGCTACACTGATGTGTGCGTTTATACGATCAAAAAAAGTGTTCAAGATTTAATAAATATGCTCCAATTAAGTTACAAGTTGCTGCCAGAGACTTATTACTAAATAAGTGAAATGGGGGTGTTTATAAAAAACAGCTGATTTTGTTTTGTGTTCAAATATTACCTTTGGCTTTGGCAAAAACAGCAATACAGTGGGTTACTGATTATAAAATGAAGAAGTGGACCTTAACTATGGTACTCAGATTGAAGCTTATTATTTTTAAAGTGAGTTTTGTGATTTTCATTGCCAAGATTAAAGATATTCAATAAACATTTAGTTTTATACCTACTATAATCAAATCTATACATAGTGATTGGAATTACAAACATTTCTGTGAAATAGCAGTATATCAGAATAATGAAGTCTCACTGGACTGGAGAATATATGTTTCCAAAGATCAGTAAGTACCTACATCAATTATTATTATTTTTATTAATAAGTATCAGTAATAAATACATCTCAAAGAATAACAAGGTTGTAACTGTACTTTTTGGAAAAAATGAGATTGGTAGAATATATTAATTAATTTGTTTTTGTGACCAATATGTTCATCTGTTAATTATCAATGTTGTGTTATCGAAACACTAACGTTATTCACATGGTTCTATCTACATGTACATAGAACTTATACAGTTTTTAGCAAGTGTCATTATAGTAGTCAGATCTTCGTTATTCCCTAATCCCTACAAAATGTAGTCTCCATCCTCCACAATTATATTAAGATTAAAGGCCAGGTTTTACCTCTGAATAAAGTTGAAAGTAACTACTTGCTGATTAGGCTATAGATTATACTTACGCCTAACTTTACTCAGAGGTTAAAAAATCTGCCATTAAAAGAACAGTGAGTTTTAGAGCATAAACAGTTTTGATTGAAAATTATAAAAAAATGATATAGGATAACTGGAAAGATTTATAATATAAAACAACATTTAAAAATTCTGAATTAACAAAAGTATGTATTTTCTGTTCCAAGCGTTGTCTCTGTTACCTAAACTAAATACTAGAAATAAAGTTTTAACTGGCAGTTACTACTATGCTTTATCAAATATTCTAAAAAATGCTGCAATGCTAGATGAAATCTTTAATTAGGCATCAAATTTGTAAAATGTTAGAGATAGTATGTAGGTATATAGGGAAAATAAAAAATATAATTATAATGAAGAGTAAGAACTTTTAAATTTTAATATAACTAGAACAAAATATTCAGTAATTAAAAATTTTGATAGGAATTAAAAATTATGCTCGAGTATAAATGTTGTGCTTGTTTTTAAGTGGTTTCGATTTACTTTAGGTTTGTTCCAACAATGCTCAGAAATGAGTTACTGACACCAGGATTCTGCACAGTAGTTTATTGAGACTGCAAAATTGTGTACTACCCAGTGGTTTGTTTCTGATCATTGTTGGAACAGACCTTTTATTCAATACATAATCGAACAAGTTAAATGTGTATTTGGAATTTTTTTAATTTTACAAATCTGAAATGATGCACTTTTTGTAGTTTTTAATAATGCTTATTTTTTTTTTTTTTTTTTTTTTTTTTTTTTTTTTTAGTTTCTTGTTCATTTAATAAAGATGCTTTATTGTATATGGGGTAATAATTTTTAAGCAGAGGCGTGCAGCACCCACAAGATCACTGCCAGAATTACAGCAAATGGGTAATCTAGAAATATGGAGTAGGTTCCCTGCACAAGATTTTCAAGAACTTGTAAATACAATGTTTTAATGAATTATTGCCGTTATCAAAGTTAAAGGTGATGAAACACTTATGAAAATTTTTAAATATTTAACCATTTCAGTGTATTTGTCCCTCCAGAGGGACACTGTCTTAATTAACCCTGAAGTATATCTGTTAATTTTGGTAGAAATTTTTTCTTTTTGGTTTATTTACTTTATTTGCGTTACTTTTAAGGATTAATATTATAAAAAAATTATTTTCATAGTAAATTTTTATTTTTGTAATGTCCCTGAACAGGGACGTTATGTCTTGGAGTAATTAAAAATACTATGAAAATATTTTAATTTACTTAAAATAAACAAAGAAAACATACAATCTACTACAATGGTATTTTTTTTAATGAAAGTGGAAGTGAAAGGGTTTAAAAAATAAAAGAATTTGTCAGATTTATGTATAATTTGTTCTTGTAGTGACAGTCACTATAAAGAGAAGTGTGCTAATTGAAACGGGACAGGGCTCATATAGTTTTATTTAAAAAGTAAACCTTGTCATTAATTAAATATAAATGATGATTATATTACATTATTGAAATATATAATGTAAAACAAATTGTTGTAATGTTTTTCTAAAATCGGAAGTGTTGTCAGGTTTGTTACTGTCTGCTG